TTTCTTATACTTTTCCTTTTTTATTTCCTCCTCCCACTTAAAACTGTTTTGCTTTTGACTTCTGCCTTCCTTAATCTACTCCACTTCTTATTCTCCCCCTTTTCCCTTAACTCCTATCCCTTCTGCTTCCCTTTTGGGTAAGATATATTTTTTTAATTCAGTAAACATTTATTAAGTGCCTGATATATGCCAGGTACTGTGCTAAACACAAGGGATACAAAAAGGCAAAAGACAATCCCAGCCCTCAAGGGCTAATCTAATCTAATCACAATCTAATGAGAGACAATATGAAAAAAATATACAAAACAGACTGTATACAGGATGAAAAAGAGATAGTTCAAAGAGAGAAGGCACTGAAATTACTAGGGGTTGAGGAAGGCTTCTTGGAGAAGGTGGAATTTTAGTTGGGGCTTAAGGAAGCCAGAGAGGTAGGTAGAACACAAGAGAGAGAGTGTTCAGGCATGGGGGACAGCCAGAGAGAATAAAATGCCCAGAGCCAAGAGATGGAGGGTCTTGTTTGTGGAACAGCCAGGAGGCCAGTATCACTGGATTAAAGGATATGTGTCAAGAAGTAAAGTATAAGAAGACTGGAAAAGGAGGAGAGGGGGTTGGTTATGAAGGGCTTTGAATGCCAAACAGGATTTTGTATTGGCTCCTGGAGGCTATAGGAAGCTACTGGGGGGGGGGGGGGGGGGGGGGTGTGCGACATAATCATACCTACAACTTAGGAAAATCACTTGAGTGGCTGAATGGAGTACAGAAAGACTTGAGGCAGGCAGACACCCTCCCCTCCCCCAAAGCTGGCTATTAAAATAATCCAGGCATGAGATGATAAGAGCCTGTACCAGAGTAGGGGCAGTGTCAGAGAAGAGAAGGGGACCTATTTGAGAGGTGCAACAGAGGTGAGATGGGCAGGCTTTGGCAACAGTTGGATGTTGGGGGGGGCAGGTGAGAATGAAGAATCCTAGGTTATGAGTCTGAAGGACTGGGAGAATGGTGCTACCCTCTCTAGTAATAGGAAAGGTAGGAAGGGGGAAGGGTTTAGGGGAGAAGATAATAGTTCTGCAGATAGTAAAAGGCTTTTACAGAGGAGAGAAAATGGGGGAAGGTGAGAGGGAATGAGTGAATCTTATTCTCATAGGATTTGGCTTAAGGAGGGAATAACATATACACTCAATTGGGTATGGAAATCTATCTTACCCTACAGGAAAATGGGGGGGGGAAGGGGACAGGAAAGCAGGGGGATGATAAGAGTAGAGGGCAGATTGGGAGAGGGGGTAATCAGAAGCAAACACTTCTGAGGAGGGACTGGATCAAAAGAGAATGGAATAAATGGGGGGCGGGATAGGATTAAGGGAAATAGTTAGTTTTTCACAACATGACTACTATGGAAGTGTTGTGCATAACTACACATGTATAACCTGTGTCAAGTTGCTTGCCTTTTCAATGAGGGTGAGTGGAAAGAGAGGAAGGGAGAAAATTTGGAACCCAAAGTTTTAAAAACACGTTAAAAAAAATTGTTCTCACATACAACTGGGAAATAAGAAATACAGGAAATGGGGTATAGAACTCTATCCTGCCCTACAGGAAAAGAGAAGGGGAAGGGGATAAGAGAAGGGGGGAGAGATAGAAAGGAGGGCAGATTGGGGGAAGGGGTATTCAGAATGCATGCCATTTTGGGGTGGGGGAGGAGCAAGATGGGGAGAAAATTTGCAGCTCAAAATCTTGTGGAAGTGAATGCTGAAAACTAAAAAATAAATAAATTTTTTTAAAAAGGAAAAAAAAGATAATAGTTCTGTTTTGGACACAAGAGTTTCAGGTATCTACTAGACATCCAGTTCAAGATGTTTGAGAAGCAGTTGGAGATGTGAGATTGGAAGTCACCAGAGAGTTTGGGACAGGAATCATCAGCATAAAGAGAGTTATTCAATCCATGGGAACTGATGAGATCACCAAGTGAAGTAGTCTAGAGGGATAGAAGAGGGCCCAGGACAGAACCTGAGGGCATAATCTGGAAGAGGATCCAGTAAAGGAGACAGAAGGAGCAGACAGGTAGGAGGAGAACCAGGAGAGAGGAGTGTCCCAAAAAATCTAAACAGAAGACCTTATCAAGGGAGAGAGGAGTGATCAGCAGTGTCAGAGGCTGCAGAGAGGTCAAAGAGAATGAGGACTTCATGAAGACTTTGGACTTTATGTTAATGCTGAGCTGTGCTCATTTTGGGGAAGATGTCTCACCTAGGCTTCGGTCCTTTTATGACCTTCTACTGCTTTCATAACTGTCTAGGAGCCTCCAAGTTTTCAGTGCTCCCAAAGTGGTGTGATCCAGGGCAAGGTCTGTTCACTACCATCCTGGTTAGAGACCCAAGTCTGGGTCTGTTGGCTTGTGAGTGGTTGAATTTCAGGAGACAGTTGCTGGACTCAGTCACTGTCAACTCACTACGAGGTTCTGCAGGTTCAGAGAAATTTTATTACTAGTCCGGGAGTCTTACCCTGGTTATTCCACTGTAGTGTGTTGTGACTAAATGCTGGACTAGAGGCTGTAATTGCTGCTCTGCTTGTGGGCACACTGCTGCATTTCTGGAACTTGGTTTTTTGTTCAATACGCAGCTAGCATCCATGCTTGCTGTGACTGCTCTTCTTTGCTTGATGTGGGACCCAGAACTGGGTAGTGGGTAACATAGTTGCCAGATGGCACCCTTAGCACTAGTTCAGGTGTCCCTTTCTCCCTTGGTACTGTCTGCCCTGGTGCCTTATCTCAGCCTTCTTTCCATCCCTGGAATGTTCTTTACAGCCACCACACACATTCCTGGCCAGACCCCATACCCAGTGTCCATACACTTTTCTCCCTAAGCTGTCCTGGGCTGGAAAAATGAATTTTTCTTGTCTTTACCCATCAGAATTTGGACTGTTGTGTTTTCTAAACCATTGTGGAGAAGGGATGGCAAGCTTGGATCAATTGCTTCCTCTGCCATCTTGACTCTGCCTCTGTTCCATTATCCTATTAATGATCTGGTGCTACCATGCCCCATCCACCATCTGTTGCCTTCCATGCTATTCAAATGCTGCTGAAAAGAAGCTGGAGAACATCATAAAACCATGCTTTTTCCACTACAAATATGTTAGATAACTGCACCCTCACTGCTGCAAGGCAATCTAATTAACTCACTCCCATTCATCACAGCAGCTTTTCATCCCTCCTCAAACCTCCCTTGGCACCCTTGTCTCTCACCTTCTCAGCTGAGGACTTTTCCTCATACTTAAGAAAAAATTCTTCTCCCCTCCTCCTCGTCTCTGTTCTCCATGTACAAGTGATTCCATTCTGGCTTACCCTATCATCCCGTCTTCCACTAATCTTCAACCTCTCATCCACCAGCTGCTTCCTGCTGCCCACAAACATGCTCATGCCTCCCCCATCCTCAGAATTGTCCCGTTATCTCTCCTCTTTCATGGCAAAACTCCTTGAGAAGTCTAAAATAAGTGCCTCAACTTCCTTTCCTCTATCTTAACTCTCCAAAGTTTGGCTTCTAACTTAGTTCAACTGAAATTACTATCTCCAGAGTTACCAGTGATCTTTTTAACTGACAAATCTAATGGCCTTTTAGTCCTTATCTCTGACACTGTCAATCACACTTCTGGATGCTCTTTCCTTTTGTGGCATTGCTTTCTCTTGGTTCTCCTCCTGGAAACTGATTGCTTCTTCTAAATCCATTTGCTCACCATCCTGGTCACACCTGCTGATGTCTCAAGGCTGTCCTGGGCTCTTTTCCTTGATGATCTCATCAGCTTCCATGGATTCAGTTATCTCTTTGCAGTTGATTTTCAGATCTACTTAAACAGCTTCTCTCCTGACCTCCACAATCTTAGATCTCCAACTGGAATGTCTCATAGCCACCTTAATTGAACATATCTAAAACTCCCCTTAAGTCCTCTTTTAAAGTCTGCTCTTCTAAACTTCTGTTACTGTTAAGGGTACCCCCAGGTTCAAAACTTAGGTAGCATCCCCCATTCCTCACTTTCTTATCCAATTGATTGCCATCTCTCAGTTATATCTCCTCCTTTCCCCTGATACCACCACCCCCTTGGTGCAGGCCCTCATCACCTCCTGCCTGAATTATGGCAATATCTGCTGGAGGCTCTGCCTGTCTTGTCTCTCCGCACTCCATTCAGCCACCAAAGTGATTTTCCCAAAGTGCAGCTCTGACGAGGCCACCCCTTAGTTAATTTCAGTGGCTCCTTACCACCTCCAGGATCAAGTGGAAAATCCTGTTTGGCATTTAAAGCCCTCTGTAACCCAGCACCTTCCTACCTTTGCAATTTTCTTACACTGTTCTCTTTTCTACAACTTAGTGTTGTAGCCTCCTTAGCCTCCTTGCTAGTCCTTGAACAAAACACTCCCATCTTGTGATTTTTTTTTTTTTTTTGCATTTTTACTGTGTCCTCTATGCCTAGAATACTGTCCTTCCTTCTGCAAGAAGTCTCTCTCCCCTTCCCCCTGAGATCACTTCCAAGTCCTCTATATCAGGGGTGGCAAACTACAGCAATGGCCTAAAGTTTGGATTTGGCCCTCAGGCCTATTATATGGTTTCTACATGTTGATCTTGTTTCCCCTATTAGATTGGGAACTCTTAGAGCTCCTTTCTTTTTATCTCAAGCCTGGCACAAAGTAAACACTTAATAAAATGATTAATAAATCATTTTAATAAAATTAATAAATAATAAAATTCTTGATTTACACCCACTAAATTAGCAAAGATGACGAAAGAGGAAAATGGCTATTACTGAGGGAATCATAGATGTACAGTTGTAAGGGACCTCAAGCCATCTAATCCATGCCCTTCATTTTTCAGAGGATGAAAGAGCAGCCCAGGGAAGTTTTGACTTGCTCAGGGTCATACAGATTTAAGTATCAGAGAAATTTAAATTTAAAAGTGTTGTGAAGTGAGTTATATGACAACTATTTCCAAACATTTTTCTCCAAATTGCAATCTCTTCTATTGCAGCTGCAGGATTAATGCACACATTTAACGCCCATGCAGCCACTGATATTACTGGCTTTGGAATCCTGGGACACGCCCAGAACCTTGCAAAACAACAGAGGAGTGAAGTGTCCTTTGTCATTCATAATCTGCCCATTATTGCCAAGATGGCAGCTGTCAGTAAGGCCAGTGGGCGTTTTGGGCTTCTCCAAGGAACATCAGCAGAAACCTCAGGTGGGTGATAAAACAAAAACTCTTGTCTTTCATGCTATCAGTGTCAGGTATCACTACACCCTTTCCCCCCACCCCAACACAAAGTTCTTTAAAAATTTAGAACCTTCCTATCTCGAGCCTCTAAAGTATTTAAAAGCCCAGAGTACAAGGCACTGAAGCCCACATTGTCAGTTCCAGTAGGACAGATGCTTTATCACTTCTGCTACCTCTGGCATCAAATTAGACATCAATGATGGCCTCTCATGGGCAGAAGCCCAATGGCATCTGAATAGAAATCTTCAGGTGCAGTCCTAGAAGGCTGGATACACTGGCCATGGTGGGAAAAGCCTTTTTCCCTTCAAGGGCCTAGACCTGCACAAGAGCCATAGTGATGGCAGTTCTGAGTACAAGAAACATACTTGCCATTGAGGTCAAATGGTACTTCAGAAGAGCTTAGGTTAGAAGTGAGACTGAAACATTGTTTGGCTTTTAAGTAGAGAAGTCTTCTGTGTCTGAGGTCTTTTGTGATGTTGCCCTTTTACAGGGGGGCTGCTAATCTGTCTGCCTCGAGAACAAGCAGCCCGCTTCTGTGCTGAAATCAAGTCTCCAAAATATGGAGAGGGTCATCAAGCATGGATTATCGGCATTGTGGAAAAAGGCAACCATACTGCCAGGATCATTGACAAGCCACGCATTATTGAAGTGATGCCCCGGGGACATACTCTTCATCATGACAACTCCAATACCAGCCCAGAGCCTGCTTCATAAAATGGCCCTGTTGTTTGAACCTCGGGGACCTTTGGAAACAATCATGAATGACTTAACTACTTAATTACTTGTTTTGGGGAAGGGGAAATTTCCAAAGAAACCTGATCAAACAGTAAAATTACTGCTAGATTGAGCTACTTATTCTAATGAGACAATTAAGGAAAATAGCTGCTTTTACATGAGTTTCAAATGAATTCATCATATTTCACATTTTCTACTTTATGGCTAAGTCTAGCCCATATTTCCCCTTTCTAGAAGCAAGATGAGGCTGACTGTTGAAGGATTTTTCTCACAACTGGGTTCCTGGAGAGCTTATTTGGTTTAACAGATTTACATATAAGAAATGAGGTTATTTACTGAAGACAAGGGACACTTTGACAACCACTTAGATCATCAGGGAATAATGCTGAAACAAGAACTCTGCTAAACCTGTAGTGGGAGACATGGGGTGCTCAGGAATTATTTATGGGATTTTTTTCACCCGTAAAGCTTCTTCCTTGTTCTGGCCAAGAATTGAGCAACTTGTCCAGAAGTGGGGAATTAGGGCCCTGCACCAGCACAAGCCTTGGCTCTGTTTATGATGCTTCTCCCATTAAATTCCTTTGAGGGCTGGAAGAAGCTGAGCAGATTCCCAGAGCCCAAGCCTTGGCATTGCTAAATTCTTATCAATTCCTGGTGTCAATAAAAAAGGCTCATTTCTCAGGATCTGTTTGAATTCTATTCTTTCAGCATGGCCCTAGCACCTAAAAGTATACACTTGAAACAATAAAATTATAAACGTTAGCCACCATTGTTATTTAATGGTTTCCACAAATACAGTCGTTTTTTTCAGTAATCCACAGTAGTAGTTACTTAGGGGGAAGAAAAATTCAGTTGCAATGCAGTTCCTTCCTCTTTCCCTGTGTTCGGAGTATTTGCATTAAACCACTAAGTCACAGTGGCCAGGGATGTGGAGGGAGTGGGGGGAACCTACAAAGCAGCAAAGGCATCTCTAATTCATGAGAAGGCCACTGGGGTGGAGGTAGAAAAGTGGTCTGCAGTCAGGAGTTGAGCCAGGTTAGTAGAACCAGCATAAGAATACCCAGTGTGGAAACTTCACCAACAGAGATATCAACTCATCTGTGGTTGAGTCTTAGAGAGTTTCCAGAGCTGCTGAGAGGATTGTGAATTGCGTGCTAGAGGCAGAACAAGAACACAGCTGACTCCAGACCCAGCACTCTTATCACCACTGTCCCATACTGTCTCTCAGTTATAGTTACTGGAGATTGTGAGATTAAAAAAAAACCAAGCTCAATTTGACAAGGGGGGAAGAGGTGAAGGACCTAGCCATTTTAAAGCCAAAAGTAGTAAAAGAGGCCTCCTGAATTTATGAAAGGCTAGTTTAGTTTCCCCAATCCAATAGTATCTCAGTATTACACTTATAATTGGTGTTGCATTTATACTAAAGCTTGAAGTGAAGAAGACTGCTTTGACAAACTTAGCCAACAGGATTTGGCAGGGAAAAAGATAAATCAAGTCTAGCACAGGTAGAGTGAGCACTGTGTAGCTGAACCCAATCTCTAAACTGTAAGTTGGGGGAAAGAATGGCAAGTCTTTATATTCAGTAACTATACATTAGTTACTAGTATACTCAGTACAAGTTTTGAGCATCACAATCAGGATAAGAGGCAAGTTATGAAAGTCTGAATGTAGCAAGAAAACCAACCCAATGAACACAAAAGTGCTAGAATCCCAGTGGGGTATGATAGTGAATCTTTGCGGTATGATCTGAATCTTTGGTATTGACTGCCTATGTTTCCCAAGCATGGACTAAAGCATAACCAACTGATCTCCACCAAGGAGGGGGGTGGGTATGTGCTAGAATGCTAGACCTAAAGTCAGGAGAACCTGGGTCCAAATGTGAGGCCCTTAAGTCTCTTCACTTCTGAACTTCAGTTTCCCCATGTGTAAAATGGGAAGAAATAATACCTAAGCCTCAAGCGTATTGAAGGGCTCAAATGAGAGACAGCATGTAAAGCCTGGGTCAAACCTTAAAAGCACCATAGAAATGGCAACTAGTACAGGCTGACCCCAGGGGCACCTTAATGCTTGGACTTCTCTCCCCAAGAGCCAGGGACAAGGATCCCTCCCTGCCTACAGCAAGAATAGCCTAGGAGGGGCAGGCAGTAGCATCCCCTACTCTGCTCCAGCTGCCTCTCTGTTCCAACAGAAAGGTGACAAAACTGGGAGGCAGTGTAGGCTGGAGTCAATGGACCTGAATTTAAATGCTTTTAAATGCTATCTCTGATGGCTATTATTTGTGTAACGACCTCCATGGGCCTCAGGTTCTCCTCTGTAAAATGAAGGGAGGGATAGACTGGATGGCTTCCAGTTCTGGATCTTCAATCCTATGATGCTTCTGCTCCAGAAAGGACTTAACATATGTGGTACAGCAAGGCGGGCAAGCCAGGTCAGGCAAAGAGCAAACTAAATGAAGGAAGACCATTTCACCATCTCTTCTAAACTTACAATCAAATGGAAATCGCTAATGATTTATCATCAAGGGCTGGGCAAGTAAAAGCAAGCATGGGGTATTATGGCAGGGTGGGTTTGGTTATGCTGGGCCACACCGCTGTGTGGGAAAGGGATCACTCAATACATTCCATGACATGTATCTGCAGAGTATCAATATCTGGGGCCTGATACTGACATTTTGGACAACAAAAGTCTGGCTGTTCATCTGGAAGACTTCTCCTCTGGCCGGGTAGTATGGGATGAAAGGAGAGGTGATGATTGACAAGATGAGCTAAGAGAAGAAAACATCCATTAGTCATTGCCACCAAGTTACACACACACACACACACACACACACATATACATACATTTGGGGAGTTAGGGAAATGACAGCAAAGTACCCATGCCAAAAGGGAACATTTACCCCAGACCACTCTTATGACATGGGGCCCTAAACTTTTTGTGCTAAGTAGCTAGTCCCTTGACCCAAGTGGATGGCAATGTGGATAGAGGAGAAGGCCTGCCTCCTAGTGCTTCATACAAATTCCCAGACAAATTCTGCAGAGACAGAAAGTAGGGCCCAATCACCCAGTCTACAGGCCAGAAAGGATTCCCAGCTCTATTAGAGTGGGCCCTGCAGGTGCAGCCCCATTAGAACAACAGTAATGCAGCCCAAGTAGCTAATTTTCCTTGCTAAGCCGTGGCTTTCTGAACAGGAAACCTTTCCACCCCAACTTCTATACAATCACAACATTCTCGGCTAAAGGGTCTAGGGACTTGGGACTTACCTGGCTGGGGCAAAGCTGGCTGAGGGTTCTCTACATGCCGTTTTCTCATATCTTCAATACTTTGAAAGCAGAAAGTTGTGTTCATAGCCCTTGGCAAATAAACTAGTAAGTAGTTGTGTCCCTCCCACCCACCCACCCTACCCCACCCCAGGGTTGTGAAATCATTTCTCTCCTGTTTCTACTTCTTTACCACCTGTTTTCTCTGTAGTAGAAGCCAATGTGCTACAATTCCCCTGAAAACTCGCTGCAGGGCCAACTTTCTTTTCATCCAGCTGGATGTTAGCCATTCTGGCTTAGACTCAAACTGAAACCAACCAGCTATGCTTAATGAGGTATTCTGCTACCTCAAGCCCATCTACTTTTAGATTTATCAGAGTAACTAAATGGGCATGAGAGACAGGCTTTTAGAAAAGCCTTTGCCACAGCTTGGGCCTCTCCTGATTCTGCTCCAGCCAAGCCAGGCGACTTACCGGGTGGTTTCTTTCGAGTCGACCCTCAGTTTGTTATACTCCCTCTGGAGCTGCTCCAGCTGATCCTGCAGAAGTTCCTTCCGCTCTGCCAGTTTCTCCCGGGCTTGCCGCTCTGCCTGGAAATCAGCCTTGTAGATATCAGCCTGGAGGCAGAAGAATGGGGTCTTCTGAGTAGTCAGTCTGGATGACCACCCACATCCACTCCAAGCCCATCCCAGTGAGGTGTCTCTTGGAACTTAGAGTGGTCTGGCGCCAGGCCTGCTTGGTGGGAGCTGCCTGGGCTTGGGCCCTGCTGGCAGAGCCTTGGACAGGGTCCTGCCAGGCCGCCAAAAAACACTAACAGGTGCCTCCTGACTCAGTCCATTAACCCCCTCTTCGCACTCCTCTCTGCTGGCTGGCTGGCTGTCCTACGACAGACAGGAGCATCTGACCTGTGCCTTCAGGACCGGGATTGTCTCCATCACTGTCTTGTGTTGTTCAGCCTCCTCCTTGAGTTTGTCGATCAATTCCTGTTTTGCTACCAAGGCCTCTTCTGCCTGTTGCAACTGCTGATTCAGGTCTTCCAACTGAAGATCCATTCCCTAAGAGAAATCAAGAGGAGACTACTGAGTCCTCAGGATTACCTGCCACACTCAGCAAACCCCAAAATGTACCAAGGAACAGAAACTATCATGTTCTCTGCAGAGCATTCTCCATGGTAGCAATGAGACTGGCTTTGTAACAAATACACCAGAGTATGTGTCCCCTTGGGGCAGCTAGGTGGTGCTGCAGTGGATAGAGTGCCAGGCCTGAAGTCAGGAAGACCTGAGTTCAAATCCAGCCTCAGACACTTACTAGCTGTGTGACCCTGGGCAAGTCACTCTCTGCCTCAGTTTCCTCCTCTGTAAAATGAGCTGGAAAAGGAAATGCAAACCTCTCCAGTATCTCTGCCAAGAAGATCACAAATAGGGTCACAGAGAGCCAGAAACAACTTAACAACATGTGTCCCCTTAGGCTGCTCCAGTTCTAGAGCACTGGAGGGAGGACAATGACTCTCCTTTGAGAACTTCTTTCAAAGAAAGGATAGGGGTCACATGAAGGAAAACAGTCCCAATCCATTTTGGTCACACCCATTTATAACCCTTCTCCCTCAATTCCCTGGGTTTTAAGGGAAGAGGGGGAGGGGTTGTAATCCCTGACTCTCCTTTTTCAGTCCACTGTGGTTCCAGGCACTTCTGGAAATGCTCTCTGCACCCTTTCATAGTTTCTCCCTGGCACAACCTCTCCAGGTCACTTACTCACACTATGTCACTGACAAGCCCATAATCTAGCCAATATTACTAGAGAATTGGACCTCTGCTTACAACATTATTTCTATGTGACAACTCTTCCCAACTCTGCCACCTACTAGATGTGACCTTGGGTTGTTTTGTCATCCATAAAATGAGGAAAACCTGGACAAGATGAACCCTGGGACAACTCTAAATCTAGGCTCCTCAGACTTGCACGAAAGCAAGCTGAGGAGGGTACAAAGCTAGGAAAGACTGAAGAGTCAGATGAGAGAATTGAGATCCAAAAAGATCTCAACACTGGGCCACCTCTGACAGGAATAAAATGGAAAGCCCCCAAATATTCACTGCACAAATACAAGATGAGGAAGGCCTGGGTAGACAATAGTTCATGTGAAAAACAGCTGAGGGGGTCTGACTGGACTACAAACTTAATAGATGATGACACGGCAGCCCCACATCTCCCCAAAACCCTGTATTCGGCTGCATTAACAGCAGCCTAGTGGCCAAAGGAGAAAAGCCAGTGAGACCAGAATGGCCTATGAGGGCCCAGGATCCTCTGACCCAATCCTTCTCATGTCATACCTTCTCTTTTCATCCTGAAGAGACCTTTATTTTTTTTTACCTTTGCCCTTAGACAGGGTATCCCCAAAAGTCTTTAGACACCACAGTCTAAAGCTACATGT